TTTAAATGAATAATTTAAATGAATAATTTAAATGAATAATTTAAATGAATAATTTAAATGAATAATTTAAATGAATAATTTAAATGAATAGCAAACACAAAAATCAGAAACCTTTGAAACTTTAGAAACCGCAATAAATGATGAAGAAGGAACATTTAGTGTTCACCAAGTACATCATTCTGGATCAAATATGTATTCACAAGGTTCAACGAGCCGAGATATTGACAGTGCTCCAAAATCATGCTTACCAAAATCAAACGGAAGAAAACCATTAATATTCTCTTTCTTACGGGGGAAAACAAAACCACGACGACATATTACATCCTCAAATTTGGATAATCAATCTATATCAGGAATTGAAACTTCTGTAATTGATAATGAGGAAATTACAATGTCAAATGAATCAGATTTACGACAATCTTCACATCAAGAAAAAACTAGTTTATCTAAAAGATTCATAAGAAAGATAAAGAAAATCGTAACTTGCTCATAAAAATTATTGAAATTTGAGCAAAACATTTATTCTTTTTTGATCAGATTCTATTTAATAGTAAATTAATTTGGCAATTTTTCTGGCAAATTTTTTTTTTTGGCATCTAATTAATCACACAAAATAATTTGGCCTTATAATTTCAAAAAAAAAAAAACTTTTTTTTTTTAAAACCGCAAATATTTAATTTTTTTTTTGTATGTACAATATTTGTAATATTCGCATATTCTTTATTTATTTAATTTTTTATTTTTTAGGCTGGATCTAAAATTTGTGGTAATGTAAAATTTGTGGTAATGTAAATTTGTGGTTAAGGTTTCAAATTACTATTATCGTTATCAGATTATGATATATTATCATAAAGTCGTATTTATGTGATATTATAGGATGTGACGGTAATTTGGTTGTTTTGGTTTGGTTTTTTTTTTTTTGTGTTAATGATGTTTAAAACAAGAAACTTATCATCTTTTCAATTATTATAATCACCAAAAAGAATTCCAATTTTTTTTTTTTGGACTCGTCAAAACAGAAGACCAAGTATGATATACATTAAAAAAAAAAAAATAAATAAATAAAAAATACAGGAAAGAATGGATGAAAATTGAATTACATAAATTTTCAAGAAAAAAAAAAATATCTCGAAGAAAAAATTTAAAAAAGAGAAAGGTAAAAAGGTACTATCAACCTTTTTTTTGGTGAACAAGGAACTCATGTTTTGCCAGGTTTTATATGTAGTAAATTTGTAAAATGTAACCTTGCAGATCTATTATTATTATGATATTTATAATCAAAATTCCCTAGCTCTGTAATTCACGTTGATTTAATTTTGAGAAAATATAATGGTGAACCCCCCAGTAAATACGTAATGAAAATGTACTTTTTTACCATTGTGTTCGTCCTAATTCGGTGCACTATCGACAAATCCCGGTGGCGCAGTGATAGTCAATGCGATTATCGTTATTATATGAATACAAGCTCTTTAGATCCTTTGGTCCAATAAAATATTTAAATGTTTATAAGAAATTTTTTTTTCATTCGAACTAAAATATACTAGGTATGACCACATGTTAGATCATGCAGGCCGAAAACAATCCAAGTATCATCATGCCATTGTCTGCAAGACAGAATTTGCATACATTTGTATATATTTGTTTGCCCAAGAATCACATCATCAGTGATCCCATGATTATATGTTGGCTACGAAGTTAGTCCATTAATTTCTTTTATAGCAAAAAGTTTTAGATATTTTCTAGATACGATTTAAAGTTTTGCGGTCTGTTGCGATTACATAATGATGTCCATCTCTCTTCACTATACATCTAACTGAATTAAGCTTATGTCTAGAGTTTTAACGTTAACGTTAAGCTATTTCTTATTATTTCATCTTATTTCTTATTATTTCTTATCGATATTGGATTTGTGAAACCTTAAGAATACTGTACATATCCAGAATTTCTCTTATTTGGAAATTGATTGTAAAACAATAATTTTTTGTTGCCTTTTATCGTTATAAATTCATCTCTTTTACACCAATCACAAGTTTTTTTTTTAAAAAAATGTCATATTATCATATTATTCACGCATTCAAGTGGTTAAGGGATAATTTAACTTTCATATTTGAAAAAAAAGAACGAATTAACTTTATGAAGTGTTTAAAATATATGCGATTCATTGATAAAGAAGGAAAGTCCAACATTGTAGCCCAACATTGTAGTCTAACTTTGTAGCCCAATATTGTACTTTATTATTACCATCATTAATTAAGACAATCTTCACTAAAATCATAAATTAATTGAATCGAATCCAATTTTCATTTAATATGGTATGTACGTATCCTCTTCCCAGGTTCCATTTTTGAATAACATTTGTAATGGAAACTGATACGTAATTGATCCACATAACCATATATGTAAGTCTCGTGTGTAAATAAAACTCATTTTATGATTATCTTTTTTAACGTTATCCAGTTTGGAAATTCTATGTAGAACGGCGTTATTTAGAATTCGTAATCGGAATTGTTACCTAGAAAGATGAAAAATTTTAGATTTTGTATCGGTATCTTAATCTGCAGGAGCCATTTTTCCTAAAAAATTTTTAAACCTTTATTTATTTTATTTTATTTTATTTTTTACGCTAAGAAAAAAAAAACCCCAATTACGACATTCTCAAATTCTTAAATACAGATTTAAAGGGGTTGTAGATCTAAAATTGAATCGAAATTCGATTCTGAATTCGTCAAAACCAGTTTATTGCTTCGTTTGAAATGTGGGGTCTTTGCCTTGAAAATGATCTTACGGTATCATGTAGCGTAAGGTCATTTTCAAGGCAAAGACCCCATGTGTCTTCTTAAAATTTCAAATTCTTATTCTCACTCTAATTTGATGACGATAAATTTTTTATCGTTATTTTCTGCATCACACATGATTCAACAGGGGAAGGGAAAATATCCTACTTATCTTAATGTCGAATACACCTTAATCGGTCAGGTGACCAACTAATTATGGTTAATTACGCTGCGTTAACCAATGATTGGTTTTACGTAACAAAGTACGTACTCAATACTTTATAACTTATCCCGCATAAAAAATAATTTTATTGCTTAAGATTACGTATGTATTGATTAGTTTGATTAGTTAATTTATAATCGATCACTTATACTGTATTTCGTGATTAATCGATTGCCGATTAGTATCATTAATAGAAACAATTATTACGTTTAACGAATAATAGACAAGATTGTGCATAATAAATATGTACCACTGAAAGGTCCTAATTATCCTTATCGTACGTACGTAGTGGTTTAGCATGCACGCGGAATACATTAATGTACGTACGTATAATGTATGTGCGTACTGTACCGATACATATCTGATATGTTTCTGATATGTATTTGATATGTATTAATTTTTGAAATTGAA